AGAATTCCAGGCTGTGGGTGATCCTGTGGCGGGGAGAGGTCCCTCCTGTCCGAGGCAGTGACGCAGAGACGGTGGCAAGGCTCTGCATGGGAGGGAGGCTCTCCTGCTGGCCTCATCGCACCGGTAAACTTCAGGGAGTTTGAATGATAGCAATGGAGCCATCATGTTGTGAGAGGGTCCCTGGAGGGGCTGTGTGGCCAGGGCTGAGGACGCCTTTAGGGTGGAGAGTGCCCTGGCTGTCAGCCAGCGAGGGAATGGAGGCCTCGGCCCCACAGCTGCAGGGACTGAATTCTGCCAACAGCTGGGTGAGTCTGGAAGGGCCCCTGGGCCTCCAAGGAGAGGCAGGCCCGGCCATCATTGATTCTAGCCTGGAGAGACCCTGAGCCGGGAACGGCTGAGCCCTGCCTAGGCCCTCGCCCCAGAACCTGAGATAATAAATGGGTGTTTAAAGTAGCTAAGCTGCTAAGTTTGTGGTAATTTATACACAATGTGTTCTTGTTTTTGTTTAATTATTTTTATGGGGTTTTTTTTGTTGTTGTTGTTTTTTTTATACAGAGTCTTGCTCTGTCACCCAAGCTGGAGTGCAGTGGCGTGATCTTGGCTCAGTACAGCCTCTACCTCCTGGGCTCCAGCAGTCCTCCTGCCTCAGCCTCTCGAGTAGCTGGGACTACGGGTGCATACCACCACGCCTAGCTAATTTTTGTATCTGTTATAGAAACAGGGTTTCACCATGTTGCCCTGGCTGATCTCAAACTCCTGGGCTCAAGCCACCTGCCCACCTTGGCCTCCCAAAGTGCTGGGATTACATGTGTGAGCCACCACGCCCGGCTACACATACTTTTTTTTTCTTTTGAGACTGAGTCTGGCTCTGTCACCCAGGCTGGAGTGCAGTGGCGTGATCTCAGCTCGCTGCAAGCTCCGCCTCCCAGGTTCATGCCATTCTCCTGACTCAGTCTCCCAAGTAGCTGGGACTACAGGTGCCTGGCAACACGCCCGGCTAATTTTTTGTATTTTTAGTAGAGACGTGGTTTCACCGTGTTAGCCAGGATGGTCTCGATCTCCTGACCTCGTGATCCACCCGCCTCAGCCTCCCAAACTGCTGGGATTACAGGCGTGAGTCAACGCGCCTGGCCCCACACATACATTTTTAAATCCCTGTAACTGCAAAAATAAATAAATCTTTAACATGACACAGCAGCTGTCACCACATCTATCTTCCCACTTCAAACAAATGGGACACTAGACAGAAAACGGGGCATGGCTTTCACAGAGTGAACGATGAACACACGAGCAGTGCGGGGCCCAGGCCCCTCAGAGAAGGTCCTCGCGAGATGGACCCACTCACCGCCCGGCTTCTCTCCACAGGCCCTTCCGGATCCCCACAGGGGCGGTGAACCACGCAGAGCACGGTATTCTTGCTGAGGAGAAGACAAAGATTGGAGTTTGGAGAAGCTGAAGTAGTTGAAGTGGTGAGGCAGAGTGGCAGAAAGGAGGGGATCCTGGGATCTGTGCAGGGATCTCCTAGAAGTTGTGGCTGACAGCCACATGCAAATACACAGGAGAAGCCCACACGGGCTGGACCAAGAGCAACTCGTGGGAACGGAGCAGCTAGCAGGGAGCTCCGTGTGCGCTAATTCCCAGAGCTCAACAGGGCGGCCAGCGGAGCGTCCTTTCAGGTCTCTCTCCAGGGCACGCAGTGGGGTCTGGGAGAGTCATGGTGCTGAGTCAGCCCTGGTGAAAAGGCTTCTCTAGACCTGCCCCACCTGCCCTCGCACCGATTTTTAAAAAGTCTCAAAAGGGTCAAGCTGCCATGTAAATACTTAACTGCAGCCAAACAAAAAACACCACAGCCAAATCCAGACACTTGCCAACATCATATTCACCATGTCTGACATCCAGTGAACACTTAACCAGATGGGCAAGGAAGTACAAAAGAAATGTAGCTCTCTCCAGTAGAAAAATCAGCCAATAGAAACAGACTCAGAAATAAAGATATGATGGAATTAGACAAATACATTTAAGCAGCCATTAAAATAAGTTCAGAGATTTAAAGGCAACCGTGCACATAATGAGGAGAGAAATTAAATGTATAAAAAAGTCTAAATATTGCAATATGTGCTGTTTTCTTTCAGTGAATGGAAGAGTTTAACAAAGAAGGAACATTGGAATCAAGAGTTGAGAATGTAAGCCAGGTGCGTTGGCTCACACCTGTCATCTCACCACTTTGGAAGGTCAGGGCAGGTGGATCACCTGAAGTCAGGAGTTCAAGACCAGCCTGGCCAACATGGTGAAACCCCGTCTCTACTGAAAATACAAAAATTAGCCAGGTGTAGTGGCGCATGCCTGTAATCCCAGCTACTCTAGAGGCTGACACAGGAGAACTGCTTGTACCCAGGAGGTGGAGGTTGCAGTGAGCTGAGATTGCGCCACTGCACTCCAGCCTGGGCGACAGAGTGAGACTCCATCTCAAAAAAAAAAAAAAGAAAAAAAAAGTTGAGAACTTTATCACAACACGTTTCTTTTCTTCTGCGTTAGTTTGTATTAGGAGCGTTTTCTACATACACAAGTAATACGTAAATCTAAGTGTGCTTTCTTGAAGATAATATTACGTACTGTTTAATTTCAGTCAGTGGAAGTATTTAACAACAACAAAAAAAAGAATGCTGGAAGGAAGAGCTAAGAACATTATTACAACACGTTTATTTCAGCATTGGTACTATTTCTTTTTTTTTTTTTTTTT